GCAATAAAAAAGGATCGTTTAGTCAAGGTGAGACATCTAAACTCTATTTAGTTTTGAATTTGTGTTAATTTGCTTTGTGTGTAATGTCTCATTCACATTCAGCTGACATATAACATGAAGGACTGTTGCAATACTGTGTTTTCAGAGCTTGTATGGCAATTTTGTTTTTAAATGTAGGCAAAGACTCTGATTCAGCTCTGATTGAGGATATTGTTACTCTGGTGAAGGGGGGAGTAACACACAGCAGCAGTGGTGTTTCGGCTATCAGGAACCCTGAGACCTACAGAAACTGGGGAGCGTCCCTCAAATACAACCCAACACTCATCGAATATGAGGTAACCTACTGGAAGACGATTCGACATATGCTCTTAAACACAAGAAAAACAGAACACAAGTTACAGTTAAATTCTCAGTGTATGACCTCACACTGTTTTTGTGCCTTTGCTGGTGTGGTCATCTGCTTTTTATTAAACTTCCTCCTCTTCCTGTCTCTATCCTTCCTCCCTGATGACCCAGACCATGCCAATCTATGAGCTAGTGCGCCTCAGTACAGCTGCTGACCACGTCGGTGCGAGGTTGGCCAACTTGGAGAGGGGCTTCGATGAATATCTGCAGCAGTTCGACTCCTGCCGCTGCGCCCCCTGCAAGCACAACGGCATCCCCGTCCTCACGCGTACCGCCTGTAACTGCATTTGTAAGTCAGGCTATCATGGAGAGGCCTGTGAAGACACTCTCAGAAGAGGTAAGACTTTGTTATTAGTGTCACAGCAGAGGTAAAGACATTAATTAAACAATTTCCTTAAATAAAGGAACAGTTTTACATTTTGGGAAACACACTTATTTGTTTTTTTGTTGAACACCACTCTAGAGATAGGATACAGTTAGCTTAGCTAAGCATGGACAGTAGGAAGGAGGTACCATTACATCATTAGACAGTTGTGATGTTAGGTAACCAAAATCCAATGTCTTACAAATGTCTCATGCCAATGTCATCTTGACACAGAATAACAATGTTTATCTTATATCCGATGGCCCACCCACGGGCCCTTGTAAGGTTTTATTTGATGATTATAATATGTCAACAACTGCAGTATTTGCTGTGTTTAAGTGGTTTATGAGCCCGGTCTCACTCCAAAGTCTTCAAAATCCAGCACTTGGGCAGTGACTTGCGGCATCAGAAATCAACAAAAAAAGGCATCCTTTAACGTTGGCATGATATGCGGCCGGTTGCCATTATAGTTTAAAGCCTGGCGGCATCAGAGGGAAAGGCAGCGGGACAAGGACAAAAGTTAAGACGGCAAAAGTCCGACTGGGGCGGGTGGGAGGGTCCAACACACACCGATTTTTGTCCGGAAGAGCAGTGTTCACATCCTGTAAGATTCTTAAGCCAAACCCTGCTCTTTTTTCCTAAATGCAACCACGTGTGTTTGTTGTTGAAGGAAAAAAACGTTGATGTGGTGTTGTACCGATGTAGTGCGTTTATTTTTTAAAGAAACTGTATGTAAATTTAAATTTCCTGTGAAAACAGAAGTGTATTTTGAAAGAAGACAATGTATGTAACAGGCAGAACTTGACACATCATCCCAGAACGTCAACAACCAACTCACCCGTAGTACCTTGCATGTCGTATCTGGACGTGGAAGGTCCCTGACCAAACATTGATATGTGATGAGGTCAGAGTGAGAGTGTGTTGGGTTTACTCATTCGAAAGCTACGCTCCTTGTGGTTCGAATAATGCCGACCATTTCAAGATACAACCACCGCAGCAGGTTCAATAAACACTTCTGTCAGACAAAAAAACAAACAAATAAGCACGTATAACTTACTTATGAAGCGTTATTATAATCCACAGATCGGTATTATGCCAAGAAAAATGCTACTCATGCTGTCTTCATACACTCCCAAAAGTCCAGACGATCTAAATCCAGTAAAATATTTAGTCCAAACATGTTACTACATCCAAAGATATCCAAGAATTGCTGTTGCATAGTTTCAAACTTTCATATTTCTACGCATATTATCCATAATTTCTTCTGTTTGCATGTCAATAAGCCGACTCCTCGCTGTCAAAATGGTGGCTGAACTCTGACCTTTTGATTGACACCTCACTTGAGCCAATAGGAGCTTCCATACTGACAGTCTAGGCTGCAGTACGCAGCGAGGGCCTGTGTTGAAGGAAGTGCCTGCCTTGACTCATTTGGCCTCAGAGCCAATCAATAGCCAATGATTGTCCCAATGGCTTATGGGTCTTGTAGTCAATGCTCAACTCCAAAGCAGTTTTTAACCCCTTAGTGTCATCATAAACTGTTATAAATATACATAAATGATAAGCAAATTTCAAATAAAAACAGGAGCTAACACAGTTGGTAAAATCAGCTCAAACCTCCTTGATTTTTCCTGACAGATACAAAGACAGACGGGTCATGGTCGTGCTGGGGGGCCTGGTCATCCTGTGCATCGGGGAGGAAGACTCGGACAAGAACCTGTAATAATCCTGCACCTGAAGGGGGCGGAGCAGCCTGCCTGGGCTCCTCCTCTCAGACTCAGCGTTGTTAAATTACTCAGGCTCCAGGGTGAACATGCTGTTGAGTGCTAAGTGAGCATTGTAAGTGTTTTTAATGAATAAAACTGTTCTGTCACAATTCTTTTATTTGTCTGAGCTCTGAAAGAAAATGAAATGCGGGCCGTCATCAGGACACACAACGTGACAAACTGTATATCAAGGTAGCAATAAATATGTGATGTGCAGACTTTGTGTGTTTTTCTGTCTGAAGCTTTTTTGAGCACAAGAATGAAAATGTCAACTTGAGGCAATTTAGACACTGCTCAAGGCTGATCCAACTTGTGTGAGTTTTATCACAGCAACTCATAATGTCACTCAGTAGTGTGTTTGGCCCCCGTGTACCTGTGTGCACTCCTGACAACATCTGGGCATGCTCCTGGTGTCCTGGGGGATCTCCTCCCAGACCTGGATGAAGCCGGGCAGTGTCCTGTACCAGGAGGAACCCAGGGCCCAGAGCATCTCCAGGCTCTTTCACGCCTGTCACATGTGCTCAGTGTGAACTTGCTCTCATTTGTGAAGAGAACAGGTGGACCTGCCAATCCTGGTGTTCTCTGGAGAATGCCAATCGAGCTGCAGGGTGCTGGGCTGTGAGCACAGGTCCTACTAGAGGACGTCGGGCCCTCATACCACCCTCATGGAGTCTGTTTCAGTTTGGTCAGAAACATGCACATCAGTAGCCTGCTAGAGGTCATTTTGCTCCTCCTGTTCCTCCTCACACAAAGGAGCAGATACTGGTCCTGCTGCTGGGTTGATGCCCTTCTACGGCCCTGTCCAGCTCTCCTCGTGTAACAGCCAGTCTCCTGGTATCTCCTCCATGCTCTTGAGACTGTGCTGGGAGACACAGCAAACCTTCTTCTGACAGCAGGTACGGATGTGCCATCCTGGAGGAGCTGGACTACCTGTGCTGCAGGTACCGCCTCATGCTTACCAAAACTAGAGAAGAATCAGTCAGGGAGGATGAGGAGAGAGCAACTGTCTGTGGCCACCACATGTAAAACCATTCCCTTTTTGGGGGTTTTCTTGCTTTTGCCTCTTCATTGCACCTGTTGTCACTTTCATTTGCACCAAAGCAGCTGAAACTGATTTACAATCACTTGTGCTTCCTAAATGGACAGATTAATATCCCTGAAGTTGAACTGGCTAGGTGTTAGACTGTGACCATTAAGTGTTCTCTTAATTTTTTTGAGCAGTGGAGGACATTTTTAAATTGCTGAGGCTGAATCCAGTCATTGCTTAAATGCTACAGTTACACTAGTCTCTATATACAGATTCAGTGAATGTAGAGTCTGTAGGCAAACCCCGGAGATCTTGCCTCCGGAAGAAGAGCGGAAGAGCCCTGGTTTCCGGTTGTAGGCTGTTTGTAGTCCGCGTGATATTGACCAATCACATTTGAGCCGGCTGCAGTTGTTGCCAGGTTAAACAGTTGTGAGTAATCAAACATTAAATGACAATAAAAGTTTATTCACTCGCACACAAAGGAAGCAGCTCTTCAGTGAAACTGTTTTAAAAGAGGTGTTGATTTAACTTAATGGTCATTTCGGAGGCTGTTTGTTGTGTTTCTGATATTTAGTTCAGCTTTATTTATAGAAAAGAAACTCCTGTCAGAGTAATGCAAAACAATTCAATCGTACCAACAACTGCAGCCTCCAAAATACCTCCACACTCACATCAACAGAAACTGAGCATTATAACCTTGGTGATGGTAGAATATACTGCATGACTGTTGTTTTAGACTGCATTAGTTTTAGTTTTGTGTACCAAATAAACTGGCAACTGAGCGTATAATGAATTAGATTAAGCCAGTAGGTTGTCTGTTGGTGTTACTCTCATGTGGCCAACATGGAGGACAAGGCCAAGTGAGCAGAATAGTCCATTATCTCTGACTATTTAATGCATCTTTCAGTTACTACACTGTAGAGATGTAGGAAAACATGACACCTCAGTTACATTTTAGTTAGTCTCTATATACAGACTCTACATTCAGTGAATGTAGAGTCTGTAGGCAAACCCCGGAGATCTTGCCTCCGGAAGAAGAGCGGAAGAGCCCTGGTTTCCGGTTGTAGGCTGTTTGTAGTCCACGTGATATTGACCAATCACGTTTGAGCCGGCTGCAGTTGTTGCCAGGTTAAATGGTCCGTGCGGTGAACTAACGAGGCGGAACATAATTGGCGTCACTGCAAACTCTGAATCATTGCAAAGGTTCAGCATATTTACTTATATATATAAACGGAAGTCGGAAATGGAAATTCACCTCCTCCGCCCAAATCAAAAGTGGAATGCCAAAAAATCGGGGATCTGCCGCCAGAGGCTGTATCGCTGTCTGCCGGAAGTCAGACGCCGAATACAGCTGATGGGTTCCGAGAATGCAGTTACACCAATGAGAAGACATATCCAGAGACACATGGTTTAACAGTATAAATGAAATACTAATTGGAGATTTTCCATTTAGGTAAGATTGTTTTTATTCAAATATAATTCAACATGTCACACCACGCAGTCAAACGACAAACACACCACAAACCAAACTTCCATTTTCCAGCAGAATTTTAAAAATCTTTATGTCAGAGCTGTTAAACAGATTTTAAAAACATTCAGTCGACTCTTCCTGCAGTCCTCTGCATTCCAGGCCTCCATCACGGGGTGCTGGGTTGTTACACTGTCGACTCCTCGTCTTTTTCTGTCCGCTGCAGGATGACCATGCACCCCAGCAGCTCCAGCTGCCGTCGATGGCTAAATCTGTCAGAAGGGGCCACATCATATTTCATATCATTATGTCAGTATCTCAGAAGGTTTTAATCCAATGCTGTGCGCAGTGTTTTGAGAGCTGACCTTTTTGTCTATTAGTGATCTCGCAGCCTCGTCCAGCGTAGCCAGTGGGACACACACAGTCACACCTGGTGCCTGTTGAGGGAGGTTAAGATATTTACTGCACAAGCATCATCACTAATATCGTTACCACCACTGTAAACATCATCCCTTAGTATACGACAATTTTAAGTTTGTGAAAAAAAGCTCTGACAATGCCAGTTAAGGTTCCTTTGAGTAAAACCAGGGAGAGTGATCTTCTGAAATAGGGTTTTATGAGGTTCTTTTCTAAAGTCAGTGTATAATCACACGAAGTAGATGTCAGTCGGCACAGCCCAGGCCAGCTCGTTTAATTTTGCTCCGATGGAAGTCTCCTGTGCTCCCCTCTCATGTTCTTTGGATTCAAGCAGTTTTAAATTGCATAAAACTGGTAAAGAATTACCAATAATAATAATCCATTTCCCTGCGGCTACAGATTTGTACATCTTTTAATATCTATGCAAGAGGCCTGTCCTGCGTAAATTAAAATATTAAAATGTTGTTTTTTTGTGTTTTGTTTGCTTATTTTTGTTTTTTGTCTTGTTTTGTTTTTTTGTTTTTTTTTGTTGTGCTGCTGCACTTATTTCGTCAGTTTTTATTTATTTTGTGTGTACATATATAATTTATATACATACCTGTTGCACTGTTGCCGTTAATGTTGTATTTTTATATTTTTGCCAAACACTTTACAAGTGCAATGATCCTGTAAACGTTGTTCTACTTGAAAATCCAATAAACAAAGTAGGAAAAAAATAAAAAATAAACAAACAAGTACCTCGTACAACCCCACTTCAAAAAACCTGAACTATTCCTTTAAGATTTGGCACAAACTGGGGGAAATTAGTTTTCAGTCTATCGCTAATGAATATGGAGCCTTAGAATTTGTCATAAACACCAAAAATAATATCCTCTGAGATACCTCTCAAAACAGCCACTCCGTTGTTTTGGCAGGGAGCACATCGACAAGCATCGGCCTCTGCCAGGTACTCCGACAGCGCTTTCTTCAGGTTTCTTTTCAGGGTGGCATGATGGGAGAAGTCTCTGGAGGTCACTAGCTCATACAGCAGCCGTGTCTAATGAGAAGGAAATTTCATAATTAAACCATCTTCATGCCGTTCAAATTCACTTCTCTAGGATTTAGTTTTTCCTTTCATAGAGCCAACTGGAAACCCTCACAAGTGCTGAAAGTTAACCCAGCTTATTTGTATTTGGCTCAGTTGCTATTTGGCATCTTTTGTTGTTTGTTCTCCAACTTGCTGTTTAGCAGCCTAGTTGTACTTTGCCTCTTTGTAATAAAGCCAATCCTGGTACCACCACTGACCAGCTCTTTGTAAATGTTTCTGCACCAATGAGTCAGGTCAAACTCCTTGAAAACAGTTAGTTATGGCTGCAAACTGAGATGGAGAATTATAAAGGAGGAAGAAAAAGAGGTTTTAGATTGTGGGAGACAGAAACACAAGAATAAGAAGATTGAAAATGGGATTAAAGCAGGTAATATGAATAAAAACAGAAATAAGCGGGGAAAGTGAGACAGAAAGGGAGAGGCAGAACATGAGATTTCAGTTAAAGACGGATAAACTCACTGTTGTGCGAAGGAAGTCGGGATTAAATTGCACGCCTTCGCCCCACAGCCCCATCAGCTGCGGCGTGGGAAGCTTTTTAGACAGTAAAGCGGTGATGGATTCACTGCTTCCACCCCTTACAACTGCAACAAAGTCCTCCACCATGCTGCCGTGCTCTGTGTCCTCTGAGGAGAGACAGAACCACTTCAGATTTTTAGCATCAGTTTGTGTTCATGATGTAAAACTGAACATATTCATATTCCTCACCTCCCATCTCATTCAGTAGGCCATTACAGGATCCACCGTGAAAACCCGCAGACACATAAACACCAAAAATGTTGGCCCCGACCTTTAGGCCCGACTGCGTACAGCGTGCGTAGTCGTCCAAAGTGTAATCTGGAGCAACAAAGGGAGTCAGGGAGTGGTTACTATCTTTCCATCAACTAACTAAATCAACTATTTATCACTAGGTATCAGTGTTAAAGGGACAGTTCACCCCAAAATCAAAAACACAGCTTTATCCTCTTACCTGTAGTGCTATTTGTCAGTCTAGATTGTTTTGGTGTGAGTTGCTGAGTGTTGGAGATATCAGCCATAGAGATGTCTGCCTTCTCTCCAATATAATGGAACTAGATGGCACTCAGCTTGTGGTGCTCAAAGTGCCAAAAAAAGTACATTTGAAAAACTCATCAACATCAATGTCTCTTTCCAGAAATCATGACCTGGTTACTGAAGATAATCCACAGACCTTGTTGTGAGCAGTTTCATGTAGGAACTATTTTCTTTCCACCAAACTACACCTGTATCATCACACAGAAGGAAGCGTGCATCTACTAATCATGGATGTATAAAGAGACCTGGATACAGCGTTTGAGGTGGAACCCTATTCATTCCTGTGAAAGTTACTAAGCTGCGCATGAAACCAAAATGGTTCAACAGCCAGGTATAACATTACCCCGATGAGTGGCACTGCTTCCACACTGTGGGCACACTACAGAGTTCTACTGACTGAGTTGAGTACTTCCGGTGTAGCACTCCATTAACTTGAATGGGGATTAAATTATTTAATTGAACAGATCTTCTAGAATTTACAGATGTATCAGACCAATGGATTAAATTCTGATGGTGAAACAAATCATATTGCAGGGTTTGTGACACTCAAAACAATGTACCCATTGATTTATGGACGTCTCTCTCACTATGTAAGTTTATAGGAAAAAGTCTTTTCTCTACCAAACAGCACCTGCCAAGCGTATCACCACGCAGGAGGATCTACTCATGTACTCATAGACGAGAGGTTCATTCTCAATATGTAAACATTAACAATGTCCTTCTTGACTGAGCTGTAGCTTAGCTCCATCTGTGCTAGGTAAGCTTACAGTAGATGCACTGTTCCTTCTGCACAGTGATATGGATGGCAGTTAAGTTTGGTTTTTAGTTAGTTTAGTTTTTGAAATGTTCTTATACATGTTTTGGTTTGGGTTTTTTTTTGGCGCTTTGAGCACCACAAGCTGAGTGCTATCTAGTTCCATTATATTGGAGAGAAGGCAGACATCTCTATGGCTGATCTCCAACTGATGATCTTAAAAGTCTCACCAAATGAACGGGAATCCCCACGTTAGTTGGAAATGATACCTTAAATGTTTTACTGCACAGTTTGGTTCGAAAATTAATCATGTTTGAACATCAGACCAAGGGGACTGGTGGCCATCTTGGATTTGACCTCTTGTGTTCCTCAGAGGTCAAATCTGACTTCCCTCCACATCTGAAAATAAACATCATGGTAACTGTTGGGGTTGTACCCTTGAGAAAAACTATATATTTTTGATTTTGGGGTGAACTGTCCCTTTAACAATGACAAGATAAAGAAAAGATGATGTCACTGCTGTTGCACACCAGTATCTGATCACAATAATTACCTTTATGTGTCTTGTAATGAGCAGAAACTGAGCAACTAAACCAGTCTTGATTTGACTGTGACCTTCGTGACTCCAGTTCAGCAGCCACTAATATTTATTACCGGACTTTGCGAGCTTCTCCTTGTTCAGGATGATGGTGTGTTCAAAGTCTCCTCCGAGGGCTGCCTCTGTAATGTAGTGGGTGCCGTAGTCCCTGAAGATCTGTCTGTATTCTCCGTAAACATAGGACTGTGGCAAGGAGCGCAGACGCTGCAGGAACTCAGGGTGAAGCATCAAATCATCTGACTTCAGCATGTACTGGGCCAACTCCAGCTCTGCTTTGGCCCTCACGAAGCTGTTAGTCTGAGGGAGAATCAGCAGGAGTTGATGAATACGTCAGTGCTTTAAGGCTAAGAGTGGAGCTGGAGCAGACATTTTAAATGACTTGTGGGTTTTGATGTATCATAAATCTGTTAGGTTCCTTTTTGTTTTTGATAAATCAGCAGGTCATGAAGAGGTCAGGAGAAAAGACACCTCACCTTGCTAGCAGCACGACGGATCTTCTGTTCTTTTTTGGAGTATTTGGCCTTATTGTAGTTGAAGCCAAATTCAACTATGAATGGAATGGCAAAGCCAAAGGAGACGGTGGTTTGGGACATGCGCTCCTCCAAAGTGTGCTTCCTGTAGTCAGAGTATGACTCAAAAGACTGCAGGGTGAAGTCATACGAGCCTTTTGTCTGTAAACACATGGGAGGGAAAACGTCCTTTTATAGTGTGTAACAAGCTGAGCCGTATCATTCGATAAACAATAACTGTCAACTATATTTAAAACATGAAGAATGATCAAGAAAAAACATAAGATAAATCACCATTATTACAGCCTTAAGATTAATCCTCACTGATGCAACAGACAAAACATGGCACCACTTTCCAATGAGACACCTTTTATAGTGGGTTTATAGTCAGGATGAGCGAGTACACCATTATCTGTATCTGTATCTGTGTCTGTATCTGTTTAACTAAATTATCTGTATCTATACTCGGAATGGGTGGAGTTTATGTCAAAACTGGGTGGTGTTTAATTTGTAAGTGGGTTGGGCCTAATCAGAAGTTGTTATTTTAAGCCTGACATTTAAATGGACTGATCAGAAGTTGCAATATTTATTACCTATGAGAAACATATTTACAGAACAGCCTCAGAATTGAAGTTCAGGATCATTTTTTATCACAACTGATTAAACACATCAACCCAAATAAGGATTTTTCTTTATCACAAGCACAGATAACATGACACATTTTACTTGTATGATACTTATCTGTACCTCTGATACTCATTTCATCCGAGTATTCAGCTCAGCCCTAGTTTAAAGGGAGTTTTTATATAACTAAAAATGTTATTAATGTGAACAATTTTTTTTACCAACGCTTTACAGAGAAGCTATTAGGAACAAAGGTTGCCAGGTTGGCTGGTAACGTTTCTTTATGTTTTAACTGCCATCGGGTGGAGTTCATCTTTGGCACTGTACATGAGACAGATAGTCTGTGAAAAAAGTCATGTTCCTCCTCCTCCTCTTCCTACTGCCTAAAATGGCATTCACTAGAATCAGACAGCCATGCAGTCAGCATCAACCAATCAGAGCTGAGGAGTCTCAGACGCAGCTGTCAATCATGTCAAACACTCCGTGAATTGCTGTTCCGCCATCCGCAGACGCATCAGGAGCAGATGTTTTCAGGAGGTCATACAGGCACGCGGGGGCTGAACACACTACTGAGTCACATTATGAGTTGCCGTGATGAAATTCACGTTCAAGTTGGATCAGCCTGTGATTTATTTGTCTCATTTAGTGCTGTGTGGATAAAGTGACACTTTCAACAAATATGAAAAAGTTACCAACTGTGGCTTTAATGTGTGGTTGTGTTTAGGCACAAAAAACCGCTGGGTTTTGGTTAGAAGAAGATCATGAGCTTAAAATACTTGCTTTTGGTGGAACAATCATGGCTTGTAAATGCTGCCGATGTCTTGTTAAAAAACACCCACTTTTGTTGTTTGTCTCAAACAGTGGTCTAGGTGTCACGCCATCCACCATTCCCTCCACCCCCTAAAGACAAACTCCTCTCATATACATGTAATCAGACTTATATTACTTTAGAAACATTGATACGACCCGTATGACACGTACAAACATAAAGTTTCCCTGGTTTGCAGAAACGTACAATGCCAACATTTTCTTTTGACGTCTGGGCTGGAAGATAGCTGTAATCTCGAATATCAACTTCAGCTCAATAATTGCTATACAGCAGTATGATTAGCAGCTGGTTTCACCTGCATAGTGTACTGCTGCAAGTTGTGAGGCTTCCTGAATCTGACATCCTGGATGTAGTGAGGCAAGCAGCTGCCAGCATAGTATCTGTTATCAAGCACCACTCCCTCCAGGTTACTGTTCAAGATACTGATTCTGAAAGAAGAGCAACAGCATTAAGGGTGAGCAGATTGATTTGAGGACAGCAACATGTTTACCTCTCCAAGTCCTCGAAAATATCTGGGACTCAGGCTGCAGACTAATGGGAATGTGACTCACCCTTTGGCAAGGTTTTCGATTCCCCAATACTCTTCAGCTTCCTCCCTGCAGGGCTTGGAAACCTTCTTACAGCCGACTTCATCTGACATGTCCCCGCAGTCATCTTCCCCACTACACTGCAGAGTTCTGGGAATACAGCGACCTGGAGGAGAGGAGAGACGTGGATGGCATCTCGATCCATTCGAAACTGAATGTTTACATTTGTCAATGATTCAGTTTCTGATTTTAATTGTGACAATGCTGTGGTTCATGTGTGGTGAGGTTTAGGTACGAAAACACTTGGTTAGGGTTGGGAAAACATCATGTTCTGGCTTAAAATACCCAGTTTGGTCGCTACAAACACAGCTGGTAATGTCTGTAACTCTCGTTTAAAAAAGCGTTTGGGGTGCCCGGTAGTTCACCTGGTGGAGTGCATCCATTAAGGCTCAGTGTTATTGCAACAGCCCAGGTTTAATCTCAGCCCAGGCCTTTTGCTCCATGTTATCCCCTCTCATTCTCAGCCACTTTTCTGGTCTCTTTTCAGCTTTCACTATGACATAAAGGCAAAATGCCCAAAAGATTATCTAAAAAACAAACAAACAAAAAAAAACCTGGTTTTGTTGCTATAAATACAGCTAGAAATGTCATGAACTCTAATTAGAAAATGCCAGTTTGTGTCTCTGTAAACACAGCTAGACATTTCCTGAACTCTTTTTGTTGCTAGAAACATAGCAGGAAATGTCCCAAACTCAGGTTAAAAAATACCCACTGTTGTTGCTATAAATACAGCTGGAAATGTCCCAAATTCTTGTTAAAAGACTATAAACACTATAAACATGGCTAGAGACTTTTATTAAAAAATCTGTTTTTGTCACTATAAACACAGCTAGAAATTTCCCTAAATCTCGATAAAACATTTGTTTTTGTCTCCAACGGTAAAGCTGGAAATGTCCTGAACTCTTGTTAAAAAATACCTGCTGTTGTTGCTACAAACACGGCTAGAAATTCCCAAAGTCTTGATAAAAAATACTTTTTTTTGCTGTAAATACGTCTGCAAATGTTCCAAACTCTTATTAAAAAATAACCTTTTTTTTGTGATAAACATGGCTGAAAGTGAATGTCTCATTAAAAAATACCTGCTTTTGTTACTATAAACATGACCAGATGTTTCCTGAAATCACATTAAAATATGCCCACTGTTGCTGCTATAAATGCAGCTGGAAATGTCGCAAACTCTTCATAAAAAATGCCTTCTTTTTAACTATAAACATGTCCAAAAGTTTCCTGAACTCTTGAAAAAAAATATGTTTTTGTCACCGTAAACAGGGAATGTCCTAAACTCTCATTAACAAATACCCACTTTCATCTCTATAAATACGGCTGGAAATATCCTGAACTCATTAAAAATCACCCTCTTTCATTGCTTTGAATATGGCTGAAAATGCTTAGAACTCTGGTTAAAAAATACCCACTGTTGTCAATTTATATATACAGCTGAAAATGTCCCAAATACTCATTAAAATATACCTGCTTTTGTAGCTGTAAATACGGCTGGATATGTCCTAAATTCTCGTTAAAAGATACCCGCCTTTTTTGTTGTAACCACAGTTGGAAATGCCCTGAATTCTTGTTCAAAAGTACCCACTTTTGGCTCTACAAACACGGCTGCAAACGTCTCGACCTCCCTTTAAAAAGTATCTCCTTTTGTCTCTGAAAACAAAGTTCAAAATGACCCGAACTCTTGTTACAAAATAACTGCTCAACACGTCTCGAAATGTTCCAAACTGTTAAAAAATACCAGTTTTTGTTGCTATAAACAGGGCTGGAAATATTGCTGATTCTCGTTATAAAATACCTGCTTTTGTAGCTATGAAAAGGTCCACCATCCCCTCCTCCTCCCAATGACAAACTAACAGCTAACATATCTGTAATCTAGACTACGTTGCATTAGAAATGTTGATATGATACATATGAAATATACAAATGTAACATATGCGTGGTTTGCAGAACCGTAGGCTAATGCTAACATTTCATTCTGGCTGCTGGCATAGGCATTTAGCTATTGGTCATTTCCAAAACAGACTAAAATCAACAGCTTGACATCATGTTAATATGCTTATTTACTTTCTTGCTGAGAGCTAGATTGCTACGTATGAAGCTACAGCGAGCAGCCAGTTATCTTAGCGTAGCGTAAAGACTGAGGGCAGTGGGGAGTACATAGGGACAGGTGTATCAGATACCTGTTTGGTTGCAGAAGAATCCCTCACACACAGGAACACTGTCACAGGTGTAGCGGGCTGGAACGTCACAGGCCTCCTCCTCCCTTTCGTGAAAATTGCACGGCTGCCCTCCAAACTGGGACGGCTGCTCCAGTTTAGCATAGCGATACTGGATGTTTGAGAGAGACAGACACATAAATGGTCAGAGAAACACAGAGGAGGACTCGCCATGACCCAATGAAGGTGGTGAAAGAGCCTGGAAACTGCTCCGGGGAACTGTAACAGCCGAAATCCCATTAGAGGGCTGTTTTCACTTTGTCATGTCAAGGTTATTAATCCCCTTTCTTGTAAAGTGGATGAGATAGAGCGCTGAAGTACATCAGCTGAGACCTTTGCCAGCAGTGGAGCTCTCTACCTCTCAGAAAAACAGCCCACAAGGGTCGAAATGTCGAATGCCTCAGACTGCAGAGTTATCTCTCAGTCCCAGCACAATAGGGATGATTTATTCAACTAGATCTAATCTGACTGAATCCAAATCTAATCTCATTTTGATAACCAGTGCACAACAATTGGCTGGACCACTGCAGCCCATAAAACCAGTGGGGGTTTTATGTAAGTTAGCCTACATTTCATTTATTTGCTTGATTGTAAAGGTCAAAAGTTTTTAGTTGATGAAAAAGTTGACATCTTGGAAAATATTTTTCATTGCTTCATTGCTGAGAGTGTGATGAGAAGAGTGATACTGCTGTTGTATGCTAAAGCTACTGTCAGTAGCTAACACAGCTTAGCACAATGACATGAAATTGATTTTAAACCTTGGTTTTTGTATGGACAAAACAAACATGTTACAAATGAGCTTCAGGGGTGCTAGCTGACGCGACTTGCTACCTTTGGATGGAGCCAGGTTAGCTGTTTCCCACTGTTTCGAGTCTAAATGCTAAGCAGTGAAGTTAGCCAGCTTCTGGCTGCTGAAATAAGAGTGGTGCCAGTGTTTTCATAACTCTCAGCAAAAAAGTGTGTTTCAAAGAATGTTTCCTAAAACTTTTCCTTTAGAGGTCCAGTGTGTAAAATTCAGGAGGGAATATATTGTCAGAAAAAGGTATTCAATATTTCTAACTTAATTTTCATTAGTGTCTCATCACCTACTAATATAAGAATCATTTTCTGTGTCTCAAATCACATACTTCCGTTAGTACACTTCTATGTAGTATATGTGCACTATGTACTCAATGGCGTAGTGCGCGAATTTTGACAAGGTAGTTTTGTCTCAAATCAAACACGGCCGTTGTGCACTTACTGGAAATGACTACCGCAAATTAGCTAGTTAGCAAACTAGCATTAGCATTCACATTATCGTTCGCGGTACCAAATCATTACAGACTGCTAGATTAACCCAACAAACATACTGCTGGCTTATATCTGACAACAGTATAGTGGTGCTTAGAGCAAAAAACACATGTATAACGACAATGCAGCGACGTTCACGGTTGCACAGTCCTCGACCGCCATTTCCAGTTTGAAAAGTGGTCCCTCCCCTTCTGCTACGTAGCCAAGATGGCGACCATTGAGGGCGAGAAGTGTCCATAGTTCCACACTCAACTTCCTGACCGTCTTGAGTGCACCATCTGAGTACTCATAGTGCACTGCATTTTTCTATACTTCTCAGTGTGAAGGCACTTATGCACTCAAAATATAAAGTGTAAGTACAGAAGTACGCGATTTGAGACACAGCATTTGTGTCTTTATTCCTTAAACCCCAGTTCAGACCAAAGATTTGCAATAAGACAAGTTAAAACAGGCTGTAAATGTGCTGTTCTTCAACGTTCTTAAAACCTGCCGGTTCACACCAATGCAACTAGATGAGACAGTGTATCATCTCTATGCAACAACTCTCTGTACTTCTGTTCTGATTTGCAGCTTCTCAGGTTTATTTTGTGGCTGAATGTAATTTGTAGCTTCTTAAAATATTAATGGAGGATAGTGATAGTGAGATACTGGCTACAGCTGCATTTGTAGTGATGAAACGGTGAAAAACAGAAACAATACTAGCTTCAGATGGACTGTATGCTGCAGCAAGCCAACTCTGTCTGCAGTCATTTTGACTGGACCAGCAAACTTCACTAAAAGCGAATTGGCTGTTGAAACAGGTGACATGCTTTATGTTCTAAAACCAGCCTCCTGCGATTTGACTAGCTGAGTTGCAGGTGACTCCATCAGCTGGCTTGAGTTGAGCTCAGACCGGTCAGTTCACACCGCTGCAACTTTTCTCTGCAACGTTCTAAAACGGTTTCGTCTCGTTGTCAATCTTTGGTCTGAACTGGGCTTTAGAATAAGCCAAACACCGGCCCTAGATAGGGATACATACATTTCCACCACACTACCGTGACGTCACCAAATGGTTCATGGCCTTCAGTTTTAAAGCCTCAAGTTCTGCTGTTGCCATCTTGGATTTTTATGGAGCCAGAAGTGACCATATTTGGCACATGGGAGATGTCACTGAATCCCATACACGTGACCTTTGAGGTTAGAAGGTATACATATCACAGCATATCATTGGGATACAACCTGGTTGTAGTTGGCCTTGGATCGGAATATACCATAAAACCTCAATTAAACGCCCAGTCCCTTTCACCAGCCCTGTGTGGCTACACATTTTGACAAATAAAAAGCTTGTCTCAAATAGATGTCAAGCGTAAAATTCTGTCACACCCGAGGAGGCTGAGGGAGCTCCCATGGGGTCAGTGACCGCGCCCCTGCCTTCAGTTAACAGCCTTTAAATTCTTTGTAAAAATAAAGCACCAGCTCAGGCAGAGCAGTGATGTAATGTTTGCTTTAACTGATTCATGCTTCACAATCACAGACTCATTCAGAGCTGTTAGGCTACCAGCTGACTCGTTACATCCAATCATATTCATGCAGGTATACACTTCTCTCTATACCATCTGAAGTGCTCATGCCCACCTGCTCAGGGTGATTCCTCCTTTACAACTGAGTATCAGACAAACATTGTGGAGCCCTGATGGGCCGACAAACACATGCCCTGTATCGTAGCTGTGACGTCCCCCGGGGCCCACCATCACCTGTCTGCTGTCATCATACTTACCCTTTTCTTCTGACAGGTGTCACAGCGCGACCACGAGCTCCACTCTGATAAAACACAGTCCACAGGATGAACTACCACCTGATGGCCCACTGACCGAGCCTCACGAACACCAGGGTCTCCATCGCTCGCTGTTGTGTCCGCAGCTTCACTGTGATCAAGACAAATCAATTTATTTTAAGACATTTTTAGATGCAAAAGTGTTTTAATTTGATTGGTTACACACAGAACTACTAATGGATCTTAATCAGGAATAATACAGTTGATTTAATACCAAAAAAGTGACATAAATCGCATTTAATCTCACACTGAAAACTGTTTTGGAGCATCAAGTATCAGCATGTCTCTGACAGCAGGACGGTTACCTTAGTTAACCTCTATGTTAATTAGCTTTAACATATTGGCAATCTCTCACTAAACAGGAAGTAAAACTTGCACCTACCTCAGCAGCACCAAGCTCACAGTAACATAGAGTAGAAAGCGCCGCAAACTGAGAGCACTCGTCCGTGTCACCACAGGAAGCATGGCTGTGTGTTATTACGACTGACTGTGGACGAGGAGACGACACTGCTCATCTCTCTATGTAAACACATGCTGATCAATACCGGCCTGGATATGAACTCAGAGCTGCCATTAGACTCAGGGGTGGAGCTAAGTACACAGCGCTGCAGGCCTCAGAGCCACAAGACAAGGTGTCGGGGTTATTAGGTCGACTGTCTGTGTGTGTGTTACTTAATACAAGTGTGACACCAGCGTCAGGTTTACAGTGAAGCAGAGTCTGCAGGCAGGTTTAACAGGAGGTCTAAATGTGTTTGAGTTATCATTAACTTTATTGTGATGAATCTGAAAGGGCAAGGAAACATACTGTAGGTAACATACGACAGTGGTGGAACATAAAGGCGGTGTAATGTGGTAAATTCCTGTATCAGACCTGAAAACATGAGTCATGTTTGTGTTCTGCTGACCTTTAAACTTTGCTCACTGTCACTGATTTGGGATTTTACAGAGTGACACAATCACTCACTCAGTGAAAGCAACACACACACACAATGTCAGGGAATCAATCTAACACGACTCCACGTCTCTACTTGGGAAAATACATGTTGGTGACTGCTATCAAAGGAAACTCTCATCTTACAAAGGGCCTCTTAACGTCCGACACATTGTCAGTGGAAGTCAGAGATGTCAAGTTATGTCCCTCGATTATTCATGATAACCTGTATAAGTGTTGATTTGGTGATCTGTCATTACTGACGTACTGTATGGTGTTCGGAGGTAGAAGTCCTTATAGAGTGACCTCATACAATGGACTGTTTGTGAAGTTCTTTTATTTGAGAGCTCATTTCCTGTTTGATCTTCTTTCTTTCCAATTGTATGTTTTTTTCTTGTTGTTGTTTGCTCCTCTTCAGGTGATTCAGTAACATAATCAGCACTAAAAAGAACAAGTGATGATTATATTAATATCTCATATCACATTACAGTGATTAACTGCAGGGAGGATCTGTGCAGTACTGTGTGAGGACAGCAGCCTCTGTTGGCTGATCTTACCACCAAAATCTAATCAGTTCATTGTTGAGTCCAAGCTGACGTTTGTGCCAAATTTTTACAAAATTCCCTCAAGGCGTTCTTCATGAGAACGAGACAGTTGGATGTACAGACAGACAATGCGAAACCATAATTAAACAAAATAAAAAGTAATCAAACAAGTCACAACCAGAGAGGAGACATCTGCAGAGTCAGTATTGAAGGAAATGGAGGAATGAAATGTGACGCAGGGTGCTGTGCTTTAAAAACAAGTAAAAAACAGAGTTCTGATGAGGAGGTCTGCAGACACGGACTGACTGTCTTGTGTGCAGGGAGCTCACCTGGCCCAGGTGTGTCACATGACGCTGATTGCACTCAAACAAGGTCTGTAGCTCTGAAAGAGGAACACACAGACACAGCAGAGGCACCAAGCAACACCCAAAAAGCAAAACTAAAATGGAAACTTATAAAAACTAAACGAAATTGTAACGCTTATAAACTATAAAAATATAAACTGAAACAATGAAACCAACTGTGGGAACTAACTACAGAAGTAGAAGCAATAGAGAAAGGTAGTTACGATGAGCCCCAGTACATGCTATTATTATTATTATTATTATGAAGCACACACACAGAGTTTTAGGTGTATATATATATACATATATATGTATATACATACAAATATATATATAATTTACCAACGATGTGTCTTACTGCCCTTTAATGTTAAATATGCTTGCAGATGTGCCCAGCTTGTCAGTGTTGACAGATTTTGCACCTAAATTAGCTGCTGTAAATCGTATAGTTTATTACATGATTAAACAGAGACTTGACATAGTCATCATTACATATCTGTATCTGACAAAAACTACAAAAGAAAATAGGAAATTATTAGTTTAACTCAATTGTTTTTTATACTTAAATTATAGTTTTTAATTGTTTATGTAGAATAAGCACATCATTTTAATACAATTTTACAAAAACAGAAAGCCACGATGGAGATGGTTTGCCTTTTTGAGGTCATATAGAGAAAATCGCACCATTTTTGATTTACAGTACCATGAGTTCTTCTTTGAGCATGGGCAAATTTCCGGTTGGCAATCGACCTTTCGCTAAGTGTGATGGTTCGACAAGCTGTCAGAGTAACTAACCATATGATCATATTTTTGGAAAAACAAAACAGTGATTCCAGAGAGAAGCAGACAGAGGGGTCTACAGTCTGTGTTTGAAGGATATATCCAGGATGTCAAACTGACTCAGCAGCAACAACAGGTTAAAAAGACAAAGATAGTTAGAAGCTAAAGCCGAACTATAGGCTATAGATCACAGTGTAAAAGTGAACCACCACATCACTGCTGATCGCCACACATGACAATGAATATAAAGGGAAACTCTGCTGATATTGAACCAGCTGTGTGGCATCGCAGTGTGTGCAGATGAATGGTGTTTGCAACTGCACTGTCTATATTTACACCCCTGTGTAGAAGTGACATATCTTTAAAGAAAGAAAAAGAAACATGAGCAGAAAACGTGGGAATCACATGATATTTTATTTGTGACTGAACAGTGGCATGGGTACAGTGTATGGGGAAGTCATAGACGTACAAAAGTCCTTTTTTTTCTCTTTTTCATGACAATTCTTAATTCCATAAATAAAATTTACAAAATATTTTGGACTATTTCTCATTTTTCTTACACGAGCAGGGGTACAGTTACCGTTTGTTATTGTAAGTCTAGCAGTTAATAGTGATATCTCTATTGTTCATATTATATAAAGTCGCCTTTCTTTCTTTTTCGACCGTTTCGACTCGGTGGAGCTGACCTACAATATGCCCAAGTGCTTTGTTACAACAATGACCTGTTTACTGTTTACAAATGACCTGACAAGAGGAACAGTGACTGGACAACGAAAATAAACCTGATAAGGCATCGAAATGCACTCTACTGTCTCCGAGCTTGTGGGTTTACTCTGCTTATTTATTCAAGAAACCAAAGAGATGTGATTTAAAGAGGCAAACTGTAAACAAAGCGACATCAGCTGGAGATGTAGAATATCTAAAAACAAGAATGAAGCAAAATCTGCCTCCTATTTAATAAAAAAACCTGTAACCTTTGAGGAGTCGCAGGGTTTTAAGTCGCTGTCTTTATGTTTGTCGACCCCGTTCATTTCTTTCAAGCTCAAAATGATGAGACAGGTACAGCAGGCTTTATTTTGAATGACCATGTAACACAGATTCACAGTTCATATCTCACCGACCGAACAGAAGAGACATTTTCAGAAGTGAAAAATAAACGGCTGCAAAAGCGAAACAAACATCCAGACGTCAAAGATGGAGGTGCTGGTAGGGCATTGCTTTGAGAGAAACACAGGTAGTTGGCATCCAAGAGGCAGAGAGCTATCGTATGGCACAGAGGCTCGGGTACGGGGGACCGGGGAGATTCTTATTTACAAAATAGATGTTTGGCAAATTTTGATTTTGATGCCTCAAAGTCATTTCGATCCCTCTAATGACTTGGCGTCATCAACTAAGAATTCACAGCTTATAAAATAGGAAAAAGATTTTTTTTTTGTAATTCGTTTCGGGTCTTGGAGGAAGCTGCAGAGAACAGTTTTGCTCACAGCTGAGTCCGCTGAATCCACATCAAGTCTGTTCATGCAAAATCGGTGGAGCAACACGATGAGAACATTTGGCAAAATCCATCTGCTGTGTGCAGTCTCTGCTGGTGGCGGCGGGCAAACCGAAGGTCAACCACATACAGTAGGACGCTGCTCCTCTTTAAAGGTTCCAAAAAATAATTTGCATCATCAGCGTCACCACGGCCGTTTAGCGTATCCTCACAGCTATAAACTCAACAATCCGTTACAGGAGGGCGCCATCGCCTCCCGATCAAAGGTCACTTCCTGGTTGAAAGGTTATGTGATTGGACGATAGAGCCAAAGTCTGGTTGTCATGCTGAGGAGTACAGTACAGTATGTGGCCCTCTGGAGGAGAGCGGATCCTTGGGTAGCCAGCTTATTACAGAACTGCCAAAATATAGGTTGAAAAAAACAGAACAAGTCTGTGTAATCCAGCTGTGAGAGACGCTGCTGCTCGTCTCTCTCGTCTTCTCTCTGTCGTGAGCTTCTGTCTTTTTGCCTTTGAGAGCTTCCGTCCCCTGAAAGACAAGAGACCAAATCATGACACCAAACAGGATTAAGATGCATATTCAAGGACAAAATTTCAAAACTTTCAAATGACTTTTCAAGGACACACAATAAAAAATTCCATGACCATTCACAACCAATAATTCTCACTGTGACCTCGTCACATATCAACGTAGTCTGGGTGTGTTGGTTGTTGACGTTTCTGGGACGCCGTGTCAAGTTCTGCCTGCTACATGCATTGTCTTCTTTCAAAATACACTTATGTTTTCACAGGAAATTTAATGTTTACATACAGTCTCTTTCAAAATAAATGCACTACGTCAGTTCAACACCATGAATTGATGTTTTTTCCTTCAACAATAAAAACACGTGGTTAGGTTCTGGAAAAAAGAACAGGGTTTGGCTTTAGAATCTTAGGAGACGTGAACACCGCTCTCTCGGGTGAAAGTCGGTGGTTGTTGGACCACCACCCCTCCCAGCTGCCCCAGTCGGAATTTTGCTGCCTTAACTTTCATCCTTGTCCCGCCATGTTCCCACCTGACGCTGCCAGGTGCTGTTAAACTATAACGGCAACCAGCTGCGTATCATACCGACGTTAAAGGATGTCTTTTTCCATTGGTTTCTGGCGCTGCAAGTCACTGCCCAAGTGCCAGTTTTCGACGACTTCAGAGTGAGACCAGGCTCTCACAGGTTACAGTTAATGATCTTAGACTTTTCTTGTCATGCACTCAATCGATATATTTCTCTTTTAAATCAATGTTGGTGAGCACTTTTCCTTTTCCAACAGTGCTGGACATGCCAGACTGACTAGGGTAACAGACAGGCGCAACAATCACAGATGATCGACTGTCAGCTTGGTGTATCACTGTCTTTAGAACAGTGGTTTCCAACTGGGTCCATTCTGAATGGACCGC